AAGATGTGTGAATCATCAAAAATGTTGTAGTCCAACCTAGAAAGCCGTAACAAGGGCTACTTCTGCCACCACTACTGACTACTAGTACTTGTCTACTTGGGTGACCTTCCACTACCAGTGCAGCCGCTGCTCAAGCTACTACAGCTTTTATTTCTACTGCTGCTGCTGCGTTATTTACACGGTCACATCTTGGAAACACATCTACCTGACAGTATCCGATCTTGGGGTTGCGGTGAGCGTAGGCAGTGAGGACGCGTCTGAGTGCAGCGATGCCGGTGGGGTTCTGGAAGGCCGGGTGGTCCGGCAGGGAGCGGTGAAGGTCCCGCTCGATCTCCTCTGTGGCCAGACTGCTGTGGCCCATCGATTTCTGCACCAGGCCGGTGTAGTAGCCCTGATGGGACTCCAGCTCTGAGGACGCATCTGCACAAAGCAGAGGTGGAGATATGTCGAGTCAGCAGTTATCCACTTATTACACACTAACACAGTCAAAGCAGCTCTCATCCTCTTTGCTTCATCATGGAATGGAAAACTTCCCAAAAAGGGTTATTACGCATTTTTAAGCTTTTCCAAGTTGATTTTAATACTGAAATAACATTTTAAAAAAGGAAGAAAGAAAGAAACCAATGGCTAACTGGGAGGAAAAACAACCAAACTGGTAAAATTCTCAACACAGAGATGATTAAAGTTCACTCAAACACCAAATGATCGTCGCCTCGTTCCATTTTGTATCATGTGACAGAAACCAGAATATGGTTTGCAAGGGGCACTAATGAGAGTGTAGAGGTGATGTCAACATTTGAAGTCACTGAGATGCTCCACTGGGGTGACTTTAATGTCGCATAAATCAAAGTCTGAGACAGAACTCGCCATTAAATAATTGCTTGATTCATTTTCTTTGGTCTTTGATCCAAATAACTGACTATGCTTGAACATGTCCCACAAACATATACTCCAAACCATTGCAGTGAAACAACTAGACAATAATTGGGTTCTACTTTTAAAACTGAGCTCCAAATGGCTCCTGCAGAAAATTATAGCAAAAAAAAGGTCATTTATATTTTAATGTCAAAAACATAGACGAGAATAAATGAACACATTCAAGCTGGGGGTCAACTGATAGCAATTATTAGGCGTCATGGAGACCAATACCAGTGTTTGGAATGGATCCATTTACAAAATAAAACAAAAATCTCTGTGTCAAAATGCAGAACAACAAACTCCTACACAACAGTTCATTGAATTATGTTTGTTGTTTGACTAAAAGACTGATCGGCTGTTGCTCATGAAGTGTAACCTGTCAGACGGTGCTGTGGGTGGAACATTACTCAAAACCCCAGAGTGGTGACTACACAGAGACAGAAGAGGCTGCATCAAAGTCAAGGCAGCACTTTTTTAAATTATTTATTTTGTCCGAGATTCTGTTTCGGGAAAATGCTGAATATCAGATGCAATAATAGGCCGGACTGACATGAACTGAGGAGAAAAATGCTCTGACCACCATGAACTGTCTCCTCTGAAGTGACAAACACTGAGAAGGAGCTCTGATACCTGCAACGAGCCATCGTCTGGGTGGCATTGCACAATTTATAGGTTCAGTCACACACACACACACACACACACACACACACACACACACACACACACAGGCAGACTAAAAACAGCTTCTTCCAACAGGCCGTTAAATGCACTCCCCCCTTTTCCCACCAACCTCAAGTTTAAGAACCTTTCATTATACTGTATACAGCGCAATCTTGTCCTCACAGTGTAGTTTTATTGTTATTCTTGTTCTTACACAGTGCAATCTCATTTTTTTTATCTTTATTCTATTTCTTTTGTTGTATGCTGCTAATCCAAACAGCCGCTAAGCTTCCTTTTGTTGTTGTTTAACAATGACAGTGAAGATCCATGCTGTTCTATTTTATTCTTTTCTATTCTACCCATGATCTACCCTGAGGGAGAATATTGCTCTCACATGTGGGAAACTCCAGCCAGTGTCTTGTTTATTATTCTACTCTCTGCTCTGGCTGGTTTTTTCCATGTGCGTATGAGATCATCTATTTAGAAAACCCGACACTCCAGTTCTCTACTGTGTCAACGTTCCCTCTTAAAAATATGAGCAGCACGAAAAAAGTAGAGGGAAAAAAGGGTAAAAAGAATCAGCCAGTGAACATAATTAGAATACTATCAAACATATGATTAAATGAGGATATTGAGGGAAATAATTTCCTTTAGTTTTGAGATTTTTCTGCCTAGTTTGAAATCATTTTTTATTCCCAGATTCTGTTTCAGCTTCCCAGCAGGGACCTTCAGTCAGTTTGAGTTTTTATTCCAACAACCTGCTTCTCCTTCATGGCAGACGGTCGACGCAGGAAGTGAGACAGAGCAGCGGAACCGACAGCAGACCAAAATAAAATCTGGCAGCGATGGGTTCTGACTGAAAAGGTGTTGGTGTAGGAGGATCAGCAGATTGAGAGAAGAGGATATGAAGCCCGAACTGCCTTCAAACACGTAAACACCGCTGTACTTCTGTCTTTGTGAGGACCATCCAGTGATAACAGGCCTGAACCTCACTGAAGCTGTCCACACTTATTATTTCCGTTTTGGTTTATAATCCACACCGAGCTGTTTTACTCTCCTAAGAACTTTTCCTGAAGCGGTATGTCACTGATGACTAAACACCATATACAGGTGAGGACATCGTTTTCTTGAGGAAAACATGCTAATTCAACTGAGGTGCTTCTTTCAATACTGCAATAAATTACTGTTAGCCTTATTGAGCAGGTAGATTTTAATCAATCAGATCACTGTTTGTAGCACCACAAGAAGGTCACCGGTTCACGTCCCGGTGAGGACACCCAGAATCTTTCTGCGTGGAGTTTGCATGTTCTCTCCGTGCAGCGTGGGTTCTCTCCAGGTTCTCCGGCTTCCTCCCACACAGTCCAAAAACATATTGAGGTTAATTGATAATTCTAAATTGTCTGTAGGTGTGAATGTGAGTGTGCTTGGTTGTCTGTCTCTAAGTGTAGCCCTGTGATAGACTGGTGACCTGTCCAGGGTGTCTCCTGCCTTCACCCTAAGTCAGCTGGGATAGACTCCAGCCCCCCATGACCCTAGTGAGGATGAAGCGGTGTATAGATAATGGATGGATGGAGATCAGTTTGTGCGTCTCGAATATTTTTCTACCTCATTTATATTAGTGAGGATGGAGTATGTATCTGAAGCACACATAACTATAAAACTTGACAAATCTAGGACATTAAGCACAAACTTTAAAATTACTATAGTTAGTTCAACACCTTTCTGATATAATTTCAACAAAAACTGAACATTGTTTCTGAATTTCTGGTGCTGGATGCAGGATCTATTGCAGGACTGCATTGTGAATATGTGAATGTCTATGTTTATTGATTTGTATGTGTTTTTCACACACACTCTGTACCTATAGGAAATACCCCCCCACCCCCTGGACATTTTCCACTTTCACTGCTTGTCAACACTGAAGCTTGTAGCATCTTCAAAGTAATCATAGGTGTCTTGGTGGCCTCCCTCACTATTCTCCTTCCTGCAATTTTTGAGCACAGCCAGCTCTAAACAGGCTTAAACATGTGTCATATTGCTTCCATTTCTTAAAGATGGATGTAACTGTACTCCAAGGGATCTCTTGCAGACTGCATCAGGTTGTTCTCTAGTATTTCCCTAGATTTTTGCTGCATTCATTTTATTCTCTACCTTTACAAATTTTTCAGAGCCTGCTGCTTAGAGGCATACAAACACAATGATGCTGCCACCTCCGTGCGTCACAGTGGGGATCATGGGTTTGTGATAATGTGCAAAGTTTGCCATCCAATAAGCTCAAATAGGTTTAATCAGACCGTAACATCTTATTCAGGTTGACTCCAGAGTATCCCACATGCCTTCTAGAGAACTGTAGTTGAGATTTAATGAACTTTTTTCAGTAGTGGCTTTCTCTTTTACACTTTTCCATAAAGCTTAGACTTGTGAAAAACAGGCAACCGTTGCTTGATGCACAGTCTCTCCCATCTCAGCTGCAGAAGCTTGTAACTCATTTAGTGGGGTGATAGGTGGTGTCTTGGTGGCCTCGATCACGAGACTCTTTCTTGCACAATCACTCAGTTTTATAGGGACGCTCTGCTCTAGGCAGATTTACACATGTTTCATATTCCTTCCATTTGTTAATGATGGATTTAACTGTGCTTCAAGGGCTATTCAGTGACTTGAAGGTGAATACTGACTACAGGCGCTGTAGAAAAACTGGAGTATAAATGTTAGGATTTTAGCTGTGATATTGAATTATTCTTAATCGCAAGCGTGCATCATCAATTATGGTCACTGCTTTGAAACTGGTTCTCATACATTGCATACAGAAGGCCTATCATCATTTTCATCCACTGTCGTGTTCTTCTCGCTTCCTCTCACCAGAAAGTGTCATCCACAGCTCCCCTCGCAGAGACTCGGGGATCCCCATGGCAACCAGCCTTTGGATTTTCTCGGTGCGAAACATGTGGACGCCACGGCCGAACTCGGAGAAGTGATCCTCCCACAGCCGCTCCTTCACCTGCTCGGCACTCTGATACAAACACACAAATAAAGCTGCTCACACTGACTGAATATGCTGAGGTTTTGTAAATGACACTGATTTAGACGTATCAGTTACACCCTACTGGTGGTTCTCATCTTTTTCCTCATTTTAAAGGTGACTTTGGAGTTTGAGCTGACTCTCAGTTAATTCAATCAACTTCAATAATCTTTGAAAATGTACGTTTGCGACTCCACCCACCTTCTTGCCATTGGTTCCTGGTTGGTTTTGGTGGAAGGCTGTCATGAGGGCTTCGCTGTTGACGGTGTTACGCAGGACCTGCTCCTCGATCTCTTCTTCATCTGAGTATCCAGTGTCATAGTAGAAGGTGTAGTAGGGTGTTGGCGAGCTCTGAGGGAAATATAGAGACAAATACATGTTGATAATCCATCCCATCCATTATCTATACACCGCTTAATCCTCACTAGGGTCATGGGTCAGCTGACTCAGGGTGAAGGCAGGGGACACCCTGGACAGGCTGCCAGTCTATCACAGGGCTACAACATTTAAAGTAACTTACATACTTGAACACTGGTGTAGCCAATTGCTGCCTGTTTTTACTTAGACATGAAAAAGTCTGTTTTTGGTAAAGTCTTGTCCAAAATAAATTGATTATGATTCAATATCAGTTCAAAGGGAAAACTTCCAACAGGGGTAAATATGGATGAATGGTCAGAACATCAAGTGAAATATTCAAGTAAAGTTTTATTTTCATGATCATTACAGTTTGTATTCAGTGTGAAATTGTGAATAAGAAAGGCATTTGATGATTTTGGCTCATTACTACGTCCAGTATTGGTGCTGAATTGTGGAAAACGCCTTATGTTAATGCAGTAATATACAATTTAGACTTGTATCTTATTGAAAGTGAAAAAGAAATGGTCCAACCTCGTAAGATTACGGCTACATCTTTTTCAGAAAAGTAAAACACGTCTACACATTCACACATTCAGTTGCCATCAGACTAACAGAAATGCATGTTTTAAACTAGCCGTGCTTCTCTTCATGATTGATCTTTACATTCTGATGGTTACAGGTTTCGTACCATATCATGGACTTTATTATACCATTTACCACAAGTGAAACTAACGTCACACTCACCACGCTTCTCTTGCTGTCTTTCCTGGTTCGGAACATGGACTGTTTCCACTGCAGGGATCTCAGTCTGGAGTTCAGACTCTCCACCAGCTCGTCTCTGTCCTGCAGCTCGATCAGCTGGAAGGCTTTTTTAGTGCGAATGCTCACTATGACCGGGTTGGGCAGCAGGCTGGTGCTCTCCGCTTTTTCTATGGACAACACCTGATGAAAAGACATTAAAAACCAGGCATCAAATCACAGTCAGTTATTTCTGATCAGCTATGAGGACAAAAAGTAGACTCCTGCTGGAAAGTTGGAGTCAGAGAAAGAGAATCAACTGGCAAAAACTGGAATTATACGCGAAATCCTGCCCTCATGTTAAATTATATGGGACAATTGAAGCTCCACAGTCAGTAATTATTGTTTAAATTGAAATAATTTTGCTACTAACTTTATTAGCATAAACAGTCTCAAATACAATGACTGTAGCTGTGTCATCGTGACTCATCCATCCATCCATTATCTATACCACGCTTAATCCTCATTAGGGTCATGGGGGGCTGGAGTCTATCCCAGCTGACTCAGGGTGAAGGCAGGGGACACCCTGGACAGGTCACCAGTCTATCACAGGGCTACACTTAGAGACAGACAACCAAGCACACTCACATTCACACCTACGGACAATTTAGAATCACCAATTAACCTCAACATGTTTTTGGACTGTGTGGGAGGAAGCCGGAGAACCCGGAGAGAACCCACACTGCACGGGGAGAACATGCAAACTCCACGCAGAAAGATCCCGATGTCCTCACTGGGACGCGAACCGGCGACCTTCTTGCGACGAGGCAACAGTGCTACCGAGCCACCTTGCAGCCCATAGTGAGTCATATTTAAAAAAAAATAAAAAAATAAAAACGTGGCAAAACAGTCATATTCCAGGAAAGTCCCAGAAAATGTGTCGTCTTGTATCACGGCAAAATATTAAAGCCCGTTTCCAGTTGCGCAGGAAATGTGCAGGAACAGAAGAGACAATAGAGGTCAAAGAGAATCTAGAGGAGCAAAATGAGAACTATTCATTATTCACAGTAATGGATTAAGTGGGTGGAAGTGATTAGACTTTTCTGAAGACAATGCTTCAATAGAAAACAGAGGAAATAGAGGATTAGAGCTCAGCGGTGGAGGAAGGACTCCTCACATGGTTCAGGGACAGACTGAGCAGCTGGGTGATAATCTGCTTTGTACCATCAACTGAATCAGGCACATGGGTCGAGAAAAACGCTAAACTAAAACGTAGCTGGAAAGAATTATTACAATCTAGACGCTGCGACATTGATTTCCCTTTGAAATGATGTAAACGTGAGCTTTGTTTCATTGGTTTTACTTGAATGGTTTGAACCTGTCTTCTCACAGTTTCTGTTTAGAAGATAAAGGACACTAAACCCACCACTGACATGATGAAAGCAGCTATGTGGTGACTGACTCCTGCAACAAAAGGTCTGTCTTTACTGCCGCACATTTAAAAAGCAGAAGGAGTTGAACCAAAGTGTTGTACAATTTAAAGTAGCAACCGACCATAAAACACAATGACTGAAAGAGACATCTGAATAAAAACACCATAAAGTAATAAAAGATAGAAGATACAGCACAATAAGGCAAGAAGTCAAGGTTTAACGGAAAGAGAAGAGGAAGGTCTTCAGCAGAGACAAGAAGAGAAACGAGCAAAACTGTAATTTTATTAAATTTTTTTTGAAAGTCATTTGATTAAAAAGTGATGTTCTTTATAGCATAGTTTGTTTTTATAATTTTTTGCAGATTTTAAGAGCTTCATCCTGATTTACTGCTATAGCCCGGAAATTATTTTTATTTGAATTTATTTTTTGGTGTCATTAACCTGCTCCTGGTTCTGTACGTACATTAATATGTGGGTCATTCCATCTCAAATCATCAGACGTATTTCAACTCAACCGTCTCTGATTTTCCGGAATTTACAGGCATAAAATAATTTATGAAGATTTTTGTGAAGTTTTAATCTGACATAAACATTTTTTTGTTTATTTATTTACCCATCAACTCACTTTAAGCATGTTTTTTGCACATTTCAATTTAAGATGTTTTGATGACAATATCTCAGGAACTATTGAGATAAATGCCTAAAATGTACTCATCTTTTTGTATTTTGGTGCTACAACAATTTTGGTGTCATACCTGCTTAACGAGTTCTAAACTATAATATTTAAAATTTTTTGTCACCACTTCCTTCTTACTTGTGTAATCTTCTGTCACTTACCAACAGCTGCTATGATTCCTGCTTATCTCAACAGGCTGCCCTGGATTTACTCTGAACTTTGCAGAGGCACCTTTTCCGCTATTTTGCACCCTGGACCTGTATGACACTTTACAGCTTTATGATTCTGGCCCTCTGTTAAAGTTCAAATCTCTGATCAAAAGATGTGTAGCTGAAGGGTGAAGCTGCTGCTGCCAAGCTGGATGTTTTTGTCTGCATCTTGATCACCTGGTTGTTTAAACGAGTTTCACTTCTGTCCTTTATCAACTGTTGTCGTGCTTGATTTTATAATCTTTTACAACTTCATGGGCTGGTTTAAACATGTTCTTTGGTTCATTTGTTGACATGTTACTTCTCTTTCCCCTGGCAAGCTGCAAGTTACTTATAATTCAGATTTTTTTTTCTTTTAAAGAATTGACTTGCCCAAAGCAAACGTGAAGCTGGCCATCACTTGCATTCCTGCCGCAAATAACACTTTAACGTGTTAGTGTGTAAACATGACAAACCACATGAAACCGATCCATGTGTTACTCTTTAACCAGCAGCTGGCAGAATAAACACACGCTTTGATAAACTCTCCTAAAAATACACTGTAGTTATGGAAAACTGAGGGAAAGGGTCTTGAGGTAAATAATTAAGGACAAAGAAGTACAGCCACTGACGTCACTGCCAGATAAGCTGGATCATGAAACATCTCGTTATATTTACCTGCTTTTTAATGTTCAGGTGGTGAACTAACTGTGTCACAGGAAGTGGACCAGTGAGGCAGGGTTTAAGGACTCCAGCTTGTATCATAAGGATACTATATTGTTGCATGTAGAGTAAACTTTAACCTGGATTATTGTGCATCATGTTACTGATTCATGTTTTTATGAGTCATTTAAAATGCAGATTCCAGTGTGCGACTTCAGAGCTTTTCTGCTTGATGAAAACCACCTGAATGCAGCGCCAGCTTTCTGTTAAAGAAATACGAAACAGTTGCAAAAATGCACTTCAGTCCTCCTAAAGGCATACAGATTTTTGTGTGTGTGTTATTAAACACAGTGAGGCTGCACTGACGGCCGGTCCGGTACCTCTGACAGCGGGATGAGCAGGATGCAGTTCCCCTCCTCTCTGCTGGAGAAACACAGGTAGCTGTCGGTGGTGTAGAGACTCCCGGCCGTATGGCAGCGAGCGTGAGGCGTCCACACCGAACACGACGCCACCTCGTAGAGTTTCTCGCCGCGAGGAAGACGAAACAGAGCCAGGACGTACTCTCTAATGGCCTGCTCCTCCAGGATCCTGGAGAGGAGGCGACGGGAGGAAGAGTCAGAGAGAAGCAGCTTTAAAGGGAATTTATGGTTATTGGGAAGCAGAAACGGAACTTATTCCCATCAGAGAGACTTCAGGTTCAGTCAGAGTATGTATTCATCTCATTCACTGTCACTAAAAACTACACATGTGGGAAAATACAGTGTATGACTGCTGGCTGAGAACCAGATTTTCCTTTTAGTGATTCACTCACACTCACAGGCAGACAGCAAGACAAGACTGAGGTCAGAGTTGTGATGATTAGTTGATTAATGGATTTGCTCTCAACTATTAAACTACTTTGACAATAAATTAATCAGTCTGAGTCATTGTTTAGGTCAAACAAAGTCTAAATTCTCTAAATCCTGTTCTGGTTTCTTTCTCTCACTGTGACAGTAAACTGAATATCTTTGGGTTGTGGATGAAAGAAGACAATTGAGGAATCAACATTCATCACCTATCTCAGACATTTTATAGCCCAAACAACGAGAGAATAATTAGTTGAGGTTCTTGAAGGAGTTGTGGCCACAAACAGTGACGATAAAAGAGCACCAGCAGAAAAACAGTGACAAATGTCAGACTGTAAGTGAGGCACAGACGATAAAATAGGAATGAATCAGCTAACGCAAGCATGTTTGGAGCGCACTGGCTGAACCGAACACATGCTACGTTTCATTTCTGGGAAATAATGACACCTGAAATTAAATCCAGGTTGCAAGGATGAAGCAATGTCACTGTTTGCCTGATAGTCTGCTGCAGGGCAAAGCTAGAAAGTGGCAGATAAGTCAAATACTGCTTGACAGAGTTTATTGCATGACTGTAGATTCCCCTACAATTTACATCTTGATGGAACAAGACAAGAGCAGCACACTAAATATATACATACTAAGTCTTATCCTTCTCTATCACCACCTACAACTGGCTGTTTTAATGTAGACTGTCTCTTTTGAGCATGTCTTTTAAATCTAGTCATCCTCTACTCTTCCCATCTAAGCTCCTCCATCTGCAGACAATGAAACAAACAGTGAGAACATCCACATTATATTTCAGGAATGTTTAGTCAGCATTTGCAAAAACAGCAAATCTATGTTTTACTGCTGTCCCAGAAATTTATGACTTAATTCGTTGCCAACTTTGAGAAATGAGGTCTTCATTATTCCTGAAGTTAAAATGTGACACATGCACATATGGGTGGGTCTGAGGCACATTTGCAGTTTGCCTTCAGGGCAACATGAGACAGAAGCCAAAGTCTGGTTTCAGCCTCGAGGAGATGAATTCAAATTTAAACAGCAATTTTTTTTCAACATATATATATACTCTGTGACCCAAATGTTCGGATTTTCCACTCATAAGGATGCTCGAAAAAAAACGCTGAAATCAAGTATATACAGTCGTCCTCAAATGTATTCATCCCCTTCTATTAAAGAAAAGGCAAAATTCACAATAGTCACTCAAATAACTAGAAACTGAAAAAAGTAATCAAAAATAAAAATGTGCCAAATTATAATTTTATGTTTCTGTTGAACCGCAATTCAAAAGCAATGTCATGATTTTCATTACATTTTTATTTACTATTACTTTTGTCAATTTCAACTTATTTCAGCTGTTTTTTTCCTTCTTTAATGGGAGGTATGAATACATTTGAGGACGACAGTAAGCACATGTTTCTATCCATTCAGTCTCATTTTGCAAATTAAAATGCAACCTGAGCTGGTTTCACATAAAGAGAGGAAACAGCACAGCCGCACCGTTACTTTGCTACTAAGATGTTTTCATGTCTCGTTTTATAGACGTAGAATCTACAAGAAAGTGTCATTTCTTCATCTTACTATTTCCCTTTCAATATTTTACTGTTACTTCTGATATGAGTTTCAGCACCACATTTCACATGCTGCTTGTTTGTTCCTTTTACCCCATTCTGGACTCTCTGTGGTTTCTGAGTCTCGCCTGTTTCATTTCTTCTTCCTTTTTTTAGTTTGCCTCATGTACGCTGGGACCAAACCGATGTGTTGTAAGTACAGAAAACGTGTTTGCTATTCGCACATGAAAAAGCAACGCCTGTTCTGAGTTGTGGTCTGCTGCTCAGTCACACATCTGCACAGTGTTGCAGTTCAGGCAGTTTACTTTTAACGCCACTTTGTGTCATGGTTTCGAGGTTCGTACTAAACATAGAAAGGCAACCGAGGCCACACAATACACACACAACAAGAAACGCCCGTTATCAAAACATTGTTTTATCTAAGCCAACTGTTAAGGTTCATAAAAACGTTTTCACTCAAAAACTAAAATAATCTCTATGCTATAATATATGAATTATCATTCAACACACGTCCAACATCAGTGGTGGAGAAGCACTCACACCTTTAACTAAAAGTACAAATACTATATTGCAAAAGTCCTGCACTGAAAATGTAGGAAGTATGAACATTTGAGAAAAATGAAGTTCATGAATCCAATTTTTGTTTTCAATCTCCAAAAATATGTAATTACTGAGCAAAATCGTGCATAAACTCAACCTAAGAAGCCTTGCAACTGAGTGCAGACTGACTGTTGTGCAAAACACTAATGGAGTGAGCTGTAGACGTCAGTGTTACCCAAGTGCCAATGAAGTGCCACCTCGGCAAAGTCCAGCACAGTCCAAAGATAGCACCGCACAGAACTGATCTGGGACTTAATGTGTATAAAGAGAAAGGTAAAATGGAAAACATCCCACTTGTGGAGCTATAAATCCCTCCCAAAAGAGCCCATAATAAATCAGCTAAGATAAAAGAAATGTTAAAATCAGAAATTTATGAAGAAAAAAAATATGTATCTGTCTAGATACAAATTTTTTGTAAAGTCAAATCAGATAAAATAGCTTCAACTGATGAAAAATCTTACGAAACAAATACACACAAAAATTTACTTAAAGCATTCTGTATCTGTCTCTTGTGACTCTGCGATATATCAGTGAATTATTATTATTTATACGCTAATATAAAACCAGGATTTTGTAGGTGTAGTCTGCTGAGGTGGAGTCGTTTCCAACCGCAACAATTGATTA